CCTCTCATACCTATGAATTTGACATTGTATTTCAAATTCTTTGTTCATTTCTGCATCTTCCTTTGCAATGAGATAGCTTTTCTTCGATGAAGCCTCGATGATCACATTCAGAATTGTATATTTAATCTCCAAACTCTTTTCTCACCTTGTTTTTGCTGCTCTGTTGGTCTAGGCTGGTGTCGACTAAGTTGAACTCACAAAGCAAGTGGTGGTCGACACCAAGTCACTCATGGAGCGTAGTTTATTGGTGGTGATATCAAGAGTTTTGTAAACTTATATTTAATCAGAGTTAATGAACTGAGAATGGGCAAAGTGGGCAATGGCCAAGTCAAGGGAAAGGAGGGACTTCTTGCTACTGTTAGCACCCAAGATGACCACAAGCTTTCTAGCATTTGGCAATGGTGATGGGGTAGTAGAGTTCATACAAGGCCATCATGGGTGGTGGTGACTGTTGCGATGGAGGCGAAATAGTGAGGATTGGAGGTGGGTGAAGGAGTATTGAAATATAATGGATGATTGATTTTCATATGAGGATGTGAAAACGATAAAGTGGTAGTAGTTTTTGTTAAGTTATGCTTAAATATATACGAAATATGAAATATTAATTACCATTTTATTTTGTTGCGTGTGACAATTGAAACAACAATTTTATTGAGATTTTTGACAAGGTACTTCATAACAGAGTGAAAGAAATATGAGTAATGATATAAGTAACTAATACTAGCTATTAAATGTTTGTAAAAATGTCTTAATGTAAGTAATTAACATCAAATCAATTTCAAATTCATAACCCCTTTAATTTATCAAATTCTGTAATTTGATAAGTACTTAAAATACATATATTTAAATTACACTTATTAAATTCAAATTTAAGTTCTAAACGCATCCTATGAGTTTTGCAATGTATTTTGGTGGTGATGTTATTTTTCTAAAAAAAAAAAAAGAAAGAAAAAAACCAAAAGAAAGTGGTGATGTTATTTGCTTGTACGCTATCTACACAAACGATGAAAAGAGGAAAAGGCGAATATTCTTTATTATTATTTTCTTATCAAAAGATTTTGTAAATCTTCAGCGAATAAATTATAAGAAAACCTATTTTATAATTTAAATTATAAAATATAAAGGAGATAAATTTTTATAGTTTTATAATTTAAAAGTTAAAATATTAATTTGGTTCTTCAACTTTTAAATTTATATTGAAATTATCTTTTAATTTCAAAAAATATCAAAATTATCTTTAAATTTTAATTTTTAATACTAAAAAAGTTCTTTCATTGACAAAAATATTATATAACTCATTATTTCACTATAAAATTAATTTTTTTAAAATATTAATAAC